AGACATTTCTAGGTAAATGGATGCATCTTAAGACCATACTTTTAAGTGAAATAAATTGGCATGTGTAAGTGCCACATTGTCTCTCTAGTATGAGAAACTGAAAGTGTAAATAAGGGCTAAAATGTACAATAGATTTTGTGAAATAGGAAGAAAATGTTCAAAAGGAAAGGGAGACTAAGGAGGAGGATGGGGAAAGAAAGCAAGCAAAAAGGACAAAAAGGAGAAAAGAAGGAAAAATAGAAACAAAGGTTTGCAATTAAGGAAGAGAAGTGGGTAGAGAGGAGGGGAGGGGATGGGGAAGAAAAGGAATCAAAGTCTCTCAAACCCAGTCCTGTTGTATGTGTTGACTTAGGAAGCTGCCATGGTCCTTTCCCCTTAGATGAAGACATGGAACGCTCCATTTGCTTTCTTGGACTTTGTTTAGTAATAGATTCTTCCAATTCTTAGCCCTTGAAATGCGCTGCTGGACGGGTGTGAATGATAGTGGTTGAAACTATGAATGCCGAGGTCACAGTTCCTGAGTAAAACCCTGGCATGATCACATATTAGCTATGCAATTTGGATGAGATATTTCCTCACTCCCTGCCTCAGTTTCTCATCAGTAAAATGAGGTTAACATTAAATAATTAACCCAAGTAGTGATTTGATGGTGAATTTGATAAAATACAAGTAAACACAGATAACATGTGAGACTCTGTTATAATCTGCTCTAGATGTGTCCCGTACACTTGATAAATATTGGATATTATGAGTCTTTGATTATAAAAACATACTGTACTGTAACCATTGAAATCTATTTGTAAGGCCTATGCCTGTGGGGACTGGCAAGGTGGTCAGTGACACCAGATGTCTATCTAAAAGCTTTGTGAATGATGATGACCTTATTTTGGAAATTTATGCCCAAATAGGTCCCTATCAGGCCACATGCCCTGTGTGGTACAGTATGGGACCCTCCGTGGTGCATCTGATGTATCATGGGAACTCTGAAGATGAGGGGGATTTCTTGAGGACTCCAGGTTACTATAACCCATCCCACCCTCCTGGGGGAAATTAACTGGCTGGGTTCCAAGAGATTCTTATACATCAGGCAACAAGACTAGTTTTCCTTCTTAAAAATGAGTTTAGAAGCCCTTTTGAACCATCTCAGAGCCCAATGTATTCAACAGCAGCAGCTCCAGACAGTATATTTTGATAATTTACAATACAATTATTTTATACAGAAAAGCTCATTTCTCTTCCAGATTTTCATGGAGGAAAAAGTCTTTAAATAATCATGTTATTATTGCTTTTTTTGTTACTAGAAATAACAAGAACACCAGACAATAAACAAAATATTTTTCACATTTGCTTTTGTTAATATTCATGACAACCCTGAGAAGAAAGTAGAACAAATCCATCAGAAAACGAACTCACTTTGTTTTCTTAACATTTCCAATGTGTTAAATCTGTGGTTTCTTTCTTTCAAAAGTGCAACATTGGGACTATCAGTGACATTTTGCTAAGTCTTCCTGTTTTTGGACATTTGACCCTTGAAGTTCTTTCTGTTCTTGCCGTGCTGTCACTGTGCTCATCTTAGCTAAACCAGCCATCATCTGCTGTCACAGGTCCTACAACTGCTTCTCATACGGCTCTGGCTCAGGTCAAATCCAAGGGTCACTCATCTCTGTACAAATCCTGCTCAGCTTCAAAGGTTTGCATTCAGTTTTTATGACCTCTAAAAGGTTTACCAAATTCTTCTATAAGAATGAATGTCTTTCTCACTCAGTTCTCATTGCCTTTTCTTTGAGGATATTTTTAAGATAATATACAGTACCTGGTGCCTTAGTGATTCCTGAGAATATACATGTCTTTATAACCACTGGAAAGGTTTTTGAAGATATTTATTCAATGTGCAACTGCTCAGTTCCTAGCCTAGCCCATCTGCTTTGTAAAATTGCACTGCTGAAAGCAGTAAAAGGCTATTTCAGCGGTGCATTCTAGGACAGTTTATTAAACTTAGTATCAGCTGCACTTATGCACTGCTAGAAACTTGTTTCAAATGTCAGTTATTAAAAATAGTTTTTGTTTGTTTGTTTTGCACTAAGACCATTTTATCCATCTAAGCAACAGAAACCTTCCTTTCCTCATAATTTCAAGCTGGCTTCCATGAAAATCTAGAATACAGAATTCAAAATGTTCTAGACATTTAGAGAAATATTTAAAAAGAATAAGGAAGTTGAATCTGAATTGAGGTAATTTCATTCATGGGAATCCTCAAATTAAGCAGGCTGTGGTTAGCTTGGAAAGTTCTCAAGGATTGTATTTAGAGAGAATTGAGTTTTAAAAAATGGGGTTAATAATGACAGGATAATGGAATTCCAGTTGTCTTGATGAAGAGAAATCTGTCTTTTAAAACTATGTTTTAGAAAGAATTGGTTATTGTTTTCAAGTTGTATATAGAAAATTCCAAAAGATGGTGGCTTTGACAACAACACAATGACAACAATAAAAAGCATTTATTGATAATCACTAGAGAAACCTACCAGGAAGAAATCAATCATAAGTCTCCAATCTTTTCTCTGAACTTTTTATTTAATGACCTATTTACCTACTTGATATCTACAATTAGATGTCCAAAAGGCATCTTAAACATAGCATGCCCACTGCTAAATACAAAAATAATACCAACAGCAGGAACCAAAAAAGCTCATTAAAGACAAAAGGAATACATAGATTATTTTGCCTGCTACCATCAAATAGCTTATGGGGCTTTGCTGAGCTATTTACCGATAGCAAGCAAAATAATATACTTGTAGCAGAATTCCAGAAAAGAAGAAAGTAGGAAAAATATTTGAGGAAAAAAAGTCTGAAGTCCTAAATTGATTTTAAAAACTCTACACAAAACAACCTGCAAACCCACAGATATGGGAATTTCAATATACCCCAAAGAGAATAAGCCTAAGTAAATTATACCAAAGCATTGTCATTCAAAAAAAGGTTCTAAAATTGTTAAAGTAACTGAAATAAAAAGGTGTAAGGATGGCAAGCCTTGTCAGAACTATGCAAGCCCAAAGACACAGTGGCACTGCCAGAGAATTGAAAGAAAGGAAGGAAGAAAAACTCACCTAGAGTTCTACATACAGCAAAAATATCTTTTAAATATGAAGCAAAGCAAAACTCATTCACAATGAAAACCCAAAGAATTCACCACCTGTGTACCTATACTGGAAAAATGTTACGTACAATTCTTCAAGAAGAAACAAATACCAGATAGATTTTTGGATTTCCATGGAGGAATGAAAAGTACTAAAAAATGTGAAATATGTGCATAAATAAAACTTATCTCATTTTTAACTGCCTTAAAAATAATTGCTTAAAGCAAAAAATAATTATTACCATGCTTACAAATACATGTAAAAATAAATTCTGTGACAGTAAAAGCACAAAGGCCTGAGGGCAGATGTGGAAGTACAAAGTTGTCAAACTACACACCGAGCAGTGTAATATTTGCAAGTAGATGCTGATGTTTTAGGTATTCGTGTCTTAAACCTTAGGTCAGTCCCTAAAAACAAAACAAAGGTAGCTGAAAACTTACTGGCTCCTCTTTCAAAGGAGTTTCTGCTGACCACATTTGCAGCAGTTTCTACATCAGTAAGAATAAAAAAAGTGATGGCACATTGCTTTAAAATATGTAGCAGACCATAGTGAGCTGATACTTGAGGGGGAGGAGGTTTCACTTATTTTGATTTATGAAAATGAGTGCCAGTTCATGCATGTGGGAGGAAAGGAGAAAGGAAGAATGATGAAATTTTCAAACAATCACTTTCAAACCCCAATGAATAAATGATCATGAATGAATGAACCCTACAAGGGTAACAAATGGATTAGAAAGTTACAGGTTGAAATTTTTTTCAGGAGCGAATTTCATGACTTTTAAAAATCTGACCCCACCAGAAATTATTTATTTATTTATTACAAACATGAGTTCCTTTCGAATGAAGAGATCTGACAGAAGCCACCATAAAGGAATAATCAAACTTGGTATCACTAATGCAAAGCGGACAAAGTGGCATTGGTGCCACTGGGTGTGATGCAGTAAGGAGCCTAGATTGTTATTTTTTACTATGACCACACTTTTTAGAACCAAATCTAGTCATAAGGAAGTAACGGGGCAAATTCAGAATGTGGGACATTCCACAGGAGCTGAGAGAAATCATGAAAAAATGCTAATGTCAAGAAACAACAGTAAGCAAAAGTTTTACAACATCCATAGGACTGCTGGTGTTGGTGATCGAACTCAAGGTACATCCTAGGCAAGTCCTCTTCCACTGAGCTACTCCTGCAGCCCAACCTGTTAGGGGAGATAAAACAGATTCAGCCCCCAAATGCAGCAGGGCATCCTGACTGGGAAGTTGAGTTTCTCTAAACTTAAATAACTTACCCATAGTCAAAACCTAGTGAGAGGCAGAAGCATGGAACCAAGCTGGTCGTGCTCATTGCCAAAGCCCGGAAACCCCACTTCTTGTCAATATTCATGAGTTTCTGCAAGACCCCAAATCTAACTTGCTAAAAGGTAGAGGAAGCCGGACATGGTGGTGTATGCCCGAAATCCCAGCTCTTGGGACAGGAGGATCGCCATGAGTTCCTCGTCAGCCAGGGGTACATAATGAGTTCAAGGCCAGCCTGAAATACATAGTGAGACCTCGTGTCAAAATAAATAAATAAAATAAGTTAGAGGAGCATTTGGAATAGCAGACTTCCAGAAATGCCAGGTTCACGATTCACTCTTCATTACTTAGGTTGACCCCAGAACAACAGGTGTCACAAATTTCTAAGAGTTTACCCAGACCCTAAAAGAGGCAGGTGGTTTATTCTTTCCTAATGGGAAATTACAGGTAAACAGAGGCACTCTTGTGGGCCTAGAATGTGGCTCCAACACAGGCACCTATGCTTCAGAGACCAGGAAGGAAGAGAGCTACGATGCAGCCAAGGAAACAGTAACACGAGGAGCAGATCGTTTAGCAGGAACAAAATGCGTCTGCAACCCCTGGCTCATATTTAGCTCAGCTGCCATCCATCACTCACAGACGAAAGCTCGAAAAGCATCAAGTCCACACCGAAAGGAGGAAAATGTGAGTGGCATCCCCGGTGGCAAGGGTTGGACGTGGGAGGCAGAGAGGAGCTATATATTATACCTGAACTCGCTGCCAGTTTCAGAAACGGCTTGGAAGGTAAGAGCTGAAATTCTAACATAAGCTGGAGCTCTCTGATGTGCGAGTGAATGAGATGAGATGTGTGAACAAGCACAGATCCGGCCCTTCTGTTCTTCCCAGCAAGCTCCCTGCGGCAGAGCCTCAGTTCCCGGCACAGGAATCGGCCTTCACAGGAGGACCCTCCGTGGGCTTCCCCGGCGGGCACTAAGCGGGTGTTGGCTCCGCTCTAGCTAATTTTAGAGCAATTGAGATGGGGCGTTCGTGGGCCCACCTGGAGCAGCAGGGGCCGGCAGGGACGTCTCCAGACACTCGGTGTGGATGTATTTTGAGACACGTTTGCCCGCGTCGCCTCCTGCTAGCTGCCCGCCGTTCTCAGGGATCCTGCTGCAGCCCGGGGAGCTGAAGCTGGCATCCTGCGAGCTCTGTCCGCGGGGGCTGCATCGGGAGGCCCTCTTTCTTTGGGAATTCATCCCCTAAGGGGCCCGACTCAAAATCATCCCAGGTCTCCAGGATTGGGGCATTCTGAGTAATTTTGATGAGGAGCGAGTGCAGGCAGCATAAATGCAGCATATGGGGAACAAAGGCTCTGAGTGTTTAGGAAATGGGAACATTCAGTTCTTCCGTGTGCAACAACGGAGCCAAATGTTAATAGTTGTGTTTCTTCCTGAAATTTAGTGCCTCAATTCTCCTTTCATATACCACTCCTTTGATGCAATTATTCCGTAAGGCATTTCCCGTAGTTCTTTTAAAAATTTTGTATATGTTGCCTTGCGTATCTCCTTCGTTTCCTTTGTTCCAGTTGTTTTTCTATTCAGAGTTCTAGCTACAGCGATGCCAACAGCTTCCATCGCCATTAGAGACCATTTTGCTCAGAAATGTGGAAGTGAACATGTGCCCTTGGTCCCATCCATGTGAGGGATGAAGGGGAGACCAGGCTTCATGATTTCTGACTCCTGGTTTACTACGACCCCCGCATTGCCTCCTCACCACCTGCGCTCGCACACAGCAACCTTCAGTAGGCCCCTGGTAACTAACTGGAAAGGAACTGAGGATGCAGTGATGTTCCGGGAGGAGGGTCATTTCCAGTTCTGCGACCTCCCTCAAAGTGTAGCCGCCATCCCCAGGGAGAATCGGGCTGACAGGGCACCTCTTGAGATTGTGGTGTGCAAGAGGTTCACTAGAAGGCCCAGCAGAACCATGGCAGGAGGCCGGGACAGAAATTGCTTTGTCCCAGGACTCAGCAGAGGGCTGAGCTGGTGAGGGGAACCTGCCTTGCTGAAGGGAAGGCCGGCCTGGCGCGGGATGCACAGGCAAAGCCAGCTGGACCCCAGAATCTGAGCATTCATGGGGGCTGGCAGGGTCCCTGGAGCATCTTGGGGCTCCTGGTGCTGCACTGAGCAGCCACTGTTTTGGAAAACTGGAAAGGGTAGTAAGAAGGCTCAGTGGAGAAGGACAGTCTGTCACTAGAGACGTCTTTCTGTGGGTAGAAAGAGGCTGCAAGAAGTTCCACGAGGATCTCATGCAAATAGTGGTATCCAGGGACTCAGCTGGGGACAGACGTGAGCACGCTCACTGGGAGGTTCCAGACTTGGTGGTGGATGGGAGGAAACGGCAGCAGCTCCTGGAAATGGAAACAGGCATTGTGAGGGCTGGGTAGCTGCATTTTAAGCAGGATACTGAAGCAGGTTGTTTTATTGTGAGAGAGAGAGAGAGAGAGAGAGAGAGAGCGCTACTAGAGATGAATTCCACGGCCTTCACACTGAAATCACTAAGTTGCTGAGGTTGAGCTTGAAAGAACTTGGGATCCTCTTGCCTCAGCCTCCCAGAACTCTGTGACTATAGATAGGCATGTACCACCAAGCCTGGCACCAGAAGTGGTGTTTTGTTTTCAGTAGTGCAGAATGAACCCAGTACCTTCTCACTGAGCTACGTAACCAGCCCTTTAAAATTTTTTTTATTTAAAATTTGAGAGTCTTCTTGTTAAGCTGCCAATTCACCCAGGGCACAGTAGAACTGTCAGTCCTCCTGGTTCACCTCAGAGTGTTGGAACCATACATAATGCCTGGTTACAAAGCAGTTGTGAGGCAGGCGATTAGGGCAAGCAAGAGGGTAGAACTATCAATAACAGAAATCCTGGAAATGTGCAGAAAAATAGTTCCCAAGGCCCTGTGCCAGGACCCATCACAGAATGCTGTCTTCAATCTTCTCAGGAGAACTCAAGCAGGTTTCTGAAATGGTGGATCTGAACTCAGCCTGAGGGTTTGGGGAAACAAAAGATGGTTCCATTAAGCTCTTGACCACTGCGCTCTTATTCAGTGTCTTGCTCTTTCCCTGTAGAATGAACTCTTTTTCTGTTTTCATTGGCCTGCACTTGCTCTACAAAGCATATTTCTTTTCCTACCTTTAATAATTGTAAAAGCTCATTAACTTTGCACTTGTTTTGTCCCATTCTTTGTTCAGGACCAGAAGAAACTAGAAAGGATTTCTAGGAGTCCTCAGCACCCCAAAAACCTAGTAACCTCTCTGTTGAGAGAGAAATGCACCGGCAGTGCGACTTAAAGGGTGGGACCAAGCAGCCACACTCTCCTTGGTGTTTTTGTAGGAATGTGGGTCACTCAGCCTTGTGGAGGTTTGTTTGGGCAGTGAGTCACTTTGGTGGATTTTCCTCTTACCTGTTCTTCCTCAAATCTTGGGTTCTTTTGATCTAGCTGACTCAGTGGCTCTTGACCCTGGCCATATATTAAAATCATTTGGGACATTAAAAGTACTGATGTCAAGATCTTCCCTGCAGAAATTCTTATTAATTCCTCTGGGATGATCTTGCACATCACTAATGCCCCCCGCAGGTAATTCTAACGTGCTATATTGTAAATAAAATGCAGATCCCTAACTCAAGGCAACCGTCACAGCTGACTGCAGGCCCATGTGCAGGTGAATAGGTACAGTGGGGTCTGGCTGGCAATGCGGCCATTCCGTCTGACTTCAGGAGCTTCCTTTGCTGTTTTTTTTTTTTTTTTTAACTCCATGAGGTGCACCTTCTGCTCAGAAGCCTGGTTACATCTCGATGAACAAATACCGAACACACAGGCAGCTCTGAATTCTCCAGCTTATGAGGTGCATCTCCATATGATGTTCTGATGGGAGACTTCTTTTAAGGGCCATTTAGGATTCATTCCGCCTCTCTGTGCTGTGAAAATTGCAGATTGCGTGTTTACCAAACTTAGCTAAAAAGAATTTGTTTTTGCCCAAGTTTCCAATCCTTAGTCTGATTTTGTGGAGCTTTCTTGGGGCACATTAAAGAATGGAATAATTTGATTCCCACATTCTCATTTGCCACTTAAGCCCCAGGTTACCACCAGGATATAGCCTAATGCTAACACAGGAAACAAAAACACAGGTGTTGTTTCTTTTTTTTTTTTTTTTTTTTGTCTCCCTGCTCTGTGGTGCATAGGAAATTCAGATGTAAGGATGTCCTTAGTGCTCTTCCTGTCTTCAATAAACAGTTATGTGACTGTGGCACAATCTTCATTTCTTCTTGGTTGACTCATTTGCAAAATAGAGATTGAAAAATCTCTGGTTTTCAATCTCTCTTTTTTCTTTCCTTTCTTTTCTCCCCTTTCTTTCTGTGAGAGCATCCTTTCTTCAAAAGCATGCTTACTATAAAACTCAATTATGTAAAACTGATGATCCAAAATCTAAACACTTGTGGGGCTTTGGGGGCCTTTGTGGACTCTTGGATTTCCTCATTTCTTCACCATAAAGCTACTTTTTCTTGAAGGAACTTTACAGAATCCCTGGGACAAAAAAATTAAAAATCCAGACCAATTAGCTGTCATCTTTTGCTGTGTCTTCCTCTGAGTACTTTCTCTTTTCACACACACACACACACACACATGCACATGTGAACATATGTGTGCACATACATAACAGGCTATACACAGGCACACAGAGTTTGACTGATGGGATTCAAGAGGTAAAAGCTATGGTAGAATAGGAGAGATGAGGACATTGACACTAAGCACAACCACTGAGTGAGGCAGAGGGGGAAAGGCGTTGAGAGTGCACTGTGCCTGTGCAGAATGGGGGCTGTGCAGAGAGACTTGTCCACAGGGTTAGGCCACTGTCTGGTGCTCAGTGGTATAAGTGTGCAATAACTTGAAGCAGGTGTCATCCCAAATGTGGTGCCTTCGTGACTGGGATGCTAGGGTCGAGTCTTGGAGAAGACCCATGAAGAATCAGGCTGTATATTTAGGAAACGCTTATTGAACAGATGTACACACTGGCCAATGGAAGCACCAACCCCTAACTAGCACATATCTCAGAGCCACTGAGACTTTTTAAACAAGTTATGTATCCTTTATAATCAGAAATGAAAAATAGCATGTCTTGCCGTTTCCCCCGACCTCCTGGGTATTTCTATAACTCTAAATGCTATCCGAGAGACAGGTATTAGCTATCAGTTGATAGATTGTCTCAAGACAGATTTCAGAGCAATTTCTTTGCTCCATAGGAATGCTCATTCCAAAGTCAGAGAGGGTCTAAAAAACAAGGAAATAGAGCTAGACACCCATTTCCTTAAAGAAGATACACCTAACTTCAGGGAGAAAAACCTCCTGAGTCTTAATACATCTAATATTTCTGGGTTCACTAAAGAGACCCATGAGTTCTACTTTTGTTAGAGACAGAAAAGGGTTTGATTTTTGTGATACACTTAAAATCAAAAGCCTCTTTGGGGCTATAATTTTAAAAACTTTTGTATTAACCATACTCTCTAGTCTGCAAAACAATCGAGGCCTTTTGCCTGATAAAAGCATTGATAACTGGTGTTATTCAAATAAGTAAGATATTAGTCATCAGTGTTCGACACAGTGCGCGGCATCCATAAAAACAACAATTAGATAAGTCATATCTGGCTTCAAGCCAACAAAAGCAGTCATAGAGACTTGCTTTCGTTGGGTTCTGAATGGCTTAGTTGAAGTCAGGAAAAAGCTGGTCACCTACGGATATGACTTGAAGAA